CTGATATCTACAGGGTCCACAGGTCCGTCAGCCAATGTAATGTGTGGTTAGGGTGTAAAAACCTTTGGTGACTCCAAGATAATTAGAGTTGGGTTATTCCACTTTACTAAGATCCCTCCCGATGTTTCTGAGGCATCCAAAGATGTCCAACCAATATGCCATGCACTCCAAAGGGATTTAACCATCTTGAAAAACGACCATAATGGGATTGTATTTGAGGAGGAAGGTCTTGATGAGGGTTCTCTTTTGTCAGTCTCCCAAACCTTTAAGATTTCAAGAGATAATAATTATAAAAGGTATTGACCACCCGATTCTGACTTACTAGATTTCTTATAATTGGTGTTCGAAAGGAGGCCAACAATCTCTCTTGACCATTTTCTCTATTTCTTGGTTGTGTTGGGCTTCTTGTTCCTCGATAGAATAGCCATGTTCTTGTAGCCATTGTGCTAGGATTTGAATGGTCAGTACAAGTGTGAGTTTTTCCGATACCGGGGTGACTTCTTCTTCATCTATATCATTATGCTTTTCTTGAAGAAAAGTGTCAAGCTCTATATTCGCAAGGATAATCTCTAGTGGTGGGAGGGAGAGATCAAAAATACCCATAAAAGGGGATTGGGGGAGGGGGCGCTGTGGAGAGGGAGAGAGTACTAGATGCATATTCGTCATTGGATTCTTCGTGAGAGCCGACAATAGAGAATTTTGTTACTGGGACGAGGAAGGTTTTTTGGTTCTTTATGTGATGACATGTATTTTTGGTGATGTTGTCACAACTTGTGGATCAGGGATAATAAGTGGTATAATAGATGGGATTGTGGAGGTTGGCGAAAAGTGAGGTGGGGGACTTGTGGTCTTTGGTTTATGTGGGGAGGTGGGCTTTTATATGTGAAGGTAGGTTGATCGAGTGGGAAAGCTATGGGTCCACGAGGCATGGCAAATGGAGAGGGTGCGAGAGCTGGGCTTGGCTGAGGGGTTGAGCTATTTTTGTAGGGGTGGGCTTGGACAGTTAGGGGCAATCTGTGGTGGATAGGGGTGATATTAACCTTTTCAGGGCTTTGGGGTATGACCACTACCTCTATGATATGTAGGTTAGGGACTGTTGAGTCATAATGTACTTGAGAAATCCTTTTTGGTGATGTGCCTAGGTGGTTTGACCAAGGGTATGGTCCAAAGATGCCTCTTGATGTTTTTGATAACCTCAATATCCACAACTATGCAGATTCCTTTCAATGATGCATCATCCTCGACTATGCAGATTCCTTTCAACGATGCTCTGATGCCATGGAAACCCATAACATCAAAAACAAATCTCCATTGAAGCAAGGGTCTATATTGACCATAAGGGAGAGTCTTTGATGATGATGTTACAAAGACTTCGATTGGTATGAAACCCTGAGTTTTTCTTTATTCAGATGGTGGGTTCCATTAGGCTCATATGCAATAATGTCTTTTTGGCACTCTCAACAAAACCTCCTCATGCATCTCCTATGTGCTTCAAAGTTTCAATATCTCAACAATTGAGCGGGAGATTTTTTTTAATCATCCACTATATGAAGGAATCATTGGGTTGCTCAAGTGTTACTTATCTGACCATAGTTCTAATTTCACCCGATAGTTTTCCATTTTTTGTCAATCTTAAGCAATTAGACGGGGATCTTTTTCTTTCCAAGAGAAGAGAATCAGTTGAAAGTTTTTCTTCAGTGAATCTCGTTTAAACTTTTTACACTTTCTTCAAGTGAGATATGATCCTAGTTTAGACCCTTAGAATTGAGCTTTTTTCTACCATTTTTTCTGTAGTGTATGTAGAGCCTTTGGAAAAAGAAATTAAGAAATTCATCCCTGGTCATTAATTAAACTTCTCTCATCACTGGTCAGTGCATCCAACATCCACAATTAAGCTGTTCCTCCAACTGGCCATATTTTATGGACAAAGGCAGAGTTGTCATCTCCATCCTGGAGATATTTTCGTTTAGACCTCTGAAGCCATAAAACTTCTTCATGTTGAATCCTTAGTGTAGTCAATGTTCGTATTTGAAATTCCACTTTCATCCAGCACGTCCAAGACAAGAATTTGCGTCTAAAAGATTGGATTTTAAGGGAACACAATGCCTAAAGAAAACTGTCTTGCTATCAATTTTATCAATGACGGACTATTATATAAAAAAAAAAAACAGACCATCGTCGAGCATCCAGTCTAAGATTACTGCTCACAAACAAGACAATCTTGTCCAATTAGTATATAGCCATAGCTCACGATACCGGACAATTTCAAACACTCATCAGACACCAGTCATAGTTTACCACAGTGAAGACGAGAGAAGCAACAATTTGGTAAAGAAAACAATCTTACCGAACACATTACAGCATTAACATATCAAATAAGAGAGCCAAGACGCTTTATGTACCAATCATGCAAAATTATCATGTCAAACATTCCACAAAACTTCCGGACCGGTTAATACAAAAACTAGAACGAGTAGCAGAATTTGAAAACACAATTCCCAAGATTCTACCGCAAAATTCGACGAAAACGAATAGACGAAAGGAATAGGAAACAAACTCGGCTTTGAAACAATATCGAGAATAAACTGGATAGCTTGACGCTTAGATTACTCCCAAACCGCTTGATCAGCCGGACGAGCGCCTCTTTTGAAGAAAATTCCGCCATGATAGAGCCCTAACACACTGTAACAGCCTTTATAATTTTCCGATAATTCGATAAATATCAGAGAATCGCATCCCTCCGCCGCCGATGCTCGCTGGATTGTTACGGCCGAGAGAGAATTTGCTTCCCCCTTCGTGGCTCGTGCAACGATGAAACCTTCAACCGGCTTCATTACTTATCTTATTACCCGAAATTTCCCGGGTTTTTATTTATTTATTATTATTATTATTTTTAATTTTATTTCGAGGCCAATGCCAAATGGTTACTTATCCACACATTTTTAATTCTTTTTTTTTAATAAATTTTTGATATCTTATATATTTAAATTGTCACAAGTAAAATGTGAGACTAAACTCAACGAGAGCTTTCGTTCATTATTTTGCTACAGTTTGGTCGTGTGAGATCTCTCATCTGTTGGAGAGGAAAAAAAACATTTTTTATAACAATGCGGAAACCTCTCCCTTGCATATGTGTTTTAAAACCGTGAGGCTGATGACGATATGTAGCAGGCTAAAGCCGAAAATATTTGTTACTGGTGGGCTTAGGCTGTTACAGGGCGAGTTTTTTTTACTCGAAACTTCTCTTTTCAAAGTCGATTACTTTCCATAATTCTTGTATCTAATTCGTAATCAAACATTCCACCGTTTTAGTAAAAGAATCAAATTGAATCACGGACGAGAGAGAAAGAACGAATTTTGAACATTAGCTGAAATTTTATGAAAATGTGCGTGTGATTAGTATGAACAGAGCAAGCTCTTTGCTATAAGCACTTTATGGTGTTAGAGCCTATGTGGGTGTGAATAGAGAACTTTCAGCTATCCTTTAGTTGTGAAATGGGCTAGAGCAGTCAATAAACACGAGAGTTGCTCCTTCCTGTGTTATGACAACATTATGGATCTATTAAGGACACGAACAATCCAAGTAGTGTAGTTTTCTAAGATGATAGTTTCCATAATGATACAATAAAAGTTTAGAGTCGGAGCTCTTATGACATACACAAGGGCCAGTGAACAGTTAACTCGACTATCTTGAATTAGAAAGAGCTTGATAGGGCTTCGTGATGATTATGCTCCATGGTGTCTACCAATTAAAACGAACAAATCCAAAGATGCTCCAGACTAGAAAACTATGGACCATCTAATCTAGACTCCTAAGTTGAGTCTAGGAGGACTAGTAGAACTGGAATACTAGTCCAAGGAAGCCTATAACTCGGATACGCAACATTTATGTCCAATCATGATTAAAGAATTGGTAGATATACATAAGCGTTAAAAAACGACTCAAGAACCTAAAAGTGATCTAAGACGAGACAAGAACGACTAAATCGAACTTAGATTTCTTTAATTCAGTGTAGCTCTATTTAGCCGAAGAATCCAACTGAAAGGTCGTTGGATAGTTAGCTTTGGTCGGTCGGAAGTTGTTGGCACATCCCATCAAGTTTGGTATTGTTCTTTGCTCACAAAGTGGTTGTTTTGCTTTTTCTTCAACAAGTCTTCACCCTTTTCTTCCTCTATCTACTTTCTTTCCCAAAATTCTTCTTTTTAAGCCAAACAAGTATCTACTTTGAGGTGCACGGATTACTATATTATCGGTGCTAAGTAGCCAAATGGAAAAGGGTATCAATCTGATTAAATCTACACTGATCTCGTACAAAGTAAAGAGATATGTTTGTTGATAAAGAAAAGGTACGAGAATAGTGATTGAATTGATGATAAAGTAGAATCTAAATCGATAATTTTTTATACCAATGTGTACATAGTTTTGTTGTGAGATTCTATATCGGTTGGAAAGGGGAATGAAACATTCCTTATAAGAGTATAGAAATTTCTCCTTAATAGACGTATTTCAAAATCGTGGAGCTGACGGCAATACCTAACGGACTAAAGTGGATAATATCTACTAGTGGTGGTCTCGGACTATTACAAATGGTATCAGAGCCAGACACAGGGAGGTGTGCTAGCGAGAACGCTAGGCCTCCAAATGGGGTGGATTGGAGAGAAGAACGGAGCATTCCTTATAATGGTGTGGAAACCTCTCTCTAGTAGACATCCTTTCAAATCGTGAGACTGACGGCTATACATAACCGGCTAAAGAATTTATAAACTGTAATAATATTTTAAAAACAAAAATATAATATAATTTCTATCCACATCATTTTCAAATTTTAATATTACTAAGAAACATAATCTTCCTAAATATAAAAGAGAGGTCACTACAGTACTATATCGGACAGAGCAGAGTGGAATTGATTCACCGGGAAAAAGAGATTCGAGTCCCCGTGTGTCGTTAATAGAATATGCGGAAACCGCTCATTAAGGAAGGGACTAAGACTGCTTTATCATCTCCTAGAAGGCAAAAAGGCTAGAATACCAAAAGAAGAAGAAGCTGAAAAGCTTTTAGTGGAGATTCGGCATTCGGCGTATCGGGAGCTAAGAAAACTCCCTTGGACGGGGGAAGTGAATGACGAGACCGGCTGAAAGACGAGCGAAAAACGATGAATTTGCCTTCAAAGCTTCTACCACTCGTCCCTCGTCTGCTCGTCGAGTGCGTCCCTGGCTCTTGCTCGTCTCTAGTAGCCGATCGAGTTTCTTCGTCCCTCTCCCGCTTATTGATTAGGGAGAGTCACTCAAGTCCCTTGGCACTCGTTCCTCTTTTCTTTTACGAAAATCCCGGGGTTTATGCGTTTTTCGGAAACTGAAATGGTTGAGACGCGACTCGAAGGTCTCATCCACTGCTTTCTCTTTCTCCTAGATCACCAAATCTTTCTCCATTCTCTAGTCTTCTTTTCCAGAAAAGGTATCACTCTTTTTCCAAGGATGGATAATCTGGTGGAATCGAGATTCTACAACCGAAACTACTGGTAGTCTTGAGGGGACTCCTCCTATAATAGTTAGCAGTACTGAACAAGCGAGTCATCGGTCCGGAGAAAGAAAAGAAACTCGTTTAACTCGCTAGGCCTTCGGAACAAAGAAAGGTGATTCTGTTCATGCTTCAGACGATCTGGCAGGACTTGTTGGGATAGGTCAAATTCCTCTAGTGTAAGGAATATGCCAACTCCAATCATGATTTTCTCTTCACTTAAACATTTTTATATCATTTGAAGTCGATCGTGGTGGATGAAGCAGAAGCGAGAATGTCGGCTTGAGTAAGGAAAACATTAGTGAGAATTCAATGCCACAAAAACCTAAGGGTTCCTACACAAGGTTCGTCCATGAAGGGTGAGTCGGGGCCTAAGACCAGGCTGAAAGGCGGAGTTCCAGTACTACCCCTTGTTGGTCCCGAGAGACAGAGGAGGCTAGATTAACCGAAAGATGGTTATTGGTTCAAGGACGCAAGGTTTGCAAGTTAATAATAATAATAATAATAATAACAACAACGAAGCTGAAATCTGGAAACGAAGAGACCAAAGAAACAGGCAACGAGTTACCAAATTGTCCTCAAAATCACGTGGATGACAGGGATAATTTCGGTAATTCCTCTCCACCAAGCTTCTCACAATACTAGGAAGCAGGATCTCCATTTCCATGGAAGTTCCCAACAGATATCTCTGCGAATGGCTCTGGCACGGGCTGCACAGAAGGCACCGCACGTGCCGCTGCGCTAAGAAATTAGCGCCATGAACCGACTTGTCGCACTTTCCGCACAGATACGCTTCGTCGGCTTGGCAGTACATCGACGCCCTCGAACCGCAGAGCTCGCACGCCACTGGCTCGCCTCCCCCGCCCACCGCCGTCTTCTTGTCGGTTCTCCGCCGCTGCTCGACGGCGAGTTGGGGAGGTTCTTCTTGCTCTACTCCTTTGCACATCAGAAAAGCTTGATCGTCAAGGCAAGGCTTTGAGCGTAATGAATTGTTTATATATCGAAAGGCTTCAGAAAAGGACAAAGAAGGAAATTAAAAAAAAATATATTATTTATTTATTTATTTATAGATATTAAATTACAAGTTGCCCAATTCCGAACAAAATACAGTTCTCGATTTCATGGTTTAATGGAAGAATGGTTCTTTTTAAAACTAAAATATAATATTTATTCATTGGATTTTTCAGATATTTGTGGTTAAATTACTAATTTAGCCCCTGATTTTTAAAAATAAATTAAATCATTATAATTTAGACTCTATAATTTTAAAATATTTTTTACTATAAAAGAAACTAAATAGAGAAGTTTGAAAATTGAATTTGAAATTAAATGGAAATTTTAGAATTAAATTCGAAATATACCTTAAAATTAGTTTATTGTTATTTTGAAGTATATTTTGAATTATGTGACAAAATAATAATAATTTTACGTGCTTACTAGAAATTTAATCAAAATGATTATAAAAATCAATTTCTTTTTTAATAATATTAAAAATATATAGACTAAAGTTAAATATATATCGAATTAAAATAAAATATTTTAATTCAACTAGATATTTTAAAATTGAATAATTTAATAATAAAACAAATAATTTTTTTTAGGTGTTTAATATTCGAAATTTGTATGGCCAAAAATGAAAGGTTTTTGCAAAAAGAGGCTTTTTGGGGTCAATTTGCAAATATCCAAATATGTGGGGCCCACTGACTTTTATTTATTTATTTATGGATAGGATAAGAAGAGGCGGAAAATATGTTTTGGCCACGTTACTCACCCTCCTCCATTAATTAATTATATTATTTTTTATGGTAGAGTCACGTGACATGCTGGTGACGTGTTCATATTCAAATGTACAATATTGGTGGGCCTAGTCCACGTATTATGTACACGTAACTCATAATCGTTTTTTAAAAATATATTTAAATTTTGGTGAATATTTAAGAAATATTTATATATATTTTTTTTTTTGTCAAATATTCTAATAATTTTTCTATGGTAATATGGAGTTTTGAAAAGAATAAACATAATTTTTAGAGTTTTTTTAATTTTATTTTTATAATACCATTAAACTTAAAAATTTTAATTTTAAATTTTATTTCTAATAGATTTTTAAACTTTGTCTAATAAATTTTTAAAATTTCAATTTTATTTTTAGATGTATTTTAAAATGTTGAATAGGTTGGTTAATTTTGATTTTATTTCGTATTTAAAGATTAAATGATGTATTAAAATAAAAAAATTAAAATTGTGAATTTTAAATAATATATTATTCTAAAAATACTATTCTTTTAAAATTTTCTTTATTACCCTTAATTTATTTTATAGAAAAAAAAAACCCTTTGATTATAATTGTGACAACAATTAAGTCAAAGTCAACAATTTCATTATAAAAGAAAAAGTAAAAAATTTCGGCTCCATTATTGACCCACTACACCAATAATTTTTTCTTTTTCTTTTTCTAAATGTGTGATTTTTTTTTTTGTTTGATTATTAAATTTAAAACAAAAATAAAAATAAAACTAAAAAAATTACCTCCCAAATTAGTTAAAAATTATTTTTAAGAGGAGTTAACGAATAAATTTGAATGGTTTCTGTTCAACCAATTTTAGTTTACAAAACCATTAGCGAACCACGACTAATCAATAATTGAAATAAGTTCATAATCCAACTCAAATAGTTCAAGTTGGGTTAAGTTAGATCCATTTTTCGAGTTATCAAATTTTTTAATTAGATATTATCGTAAGAATTCTCCACCACCAATTGTGTCGTCTGAAAAAGAAAATTCAACGATTCCTTTATATATATATATGAACAACAAAACCCATTCCATTTAAGCTCATCTTTGACCAAAGCGATGAAGCCTTCAAAATCAACCATTTTCCTCTTTGCTCTCATTCTCCTCTCCCCATCGGCCTTCGGCGAAGACATTGTAACTGACAGTGCGTTTCTGAATCATATTTGCATAAGTTTTGACAACTACACAGCCAACAGCTCCTACGCTTCCAATTTGAACCAAGCCTTCGCCCAATTAGCCTCCAAAGCCCCTCCTTCCGGCTACGCCCAAGCCTCCATTGGCAAAGACCCACAAACCCAAGTCAATGGGCTCGGTCTCTGCCGCGGCGACGTGTCGCCTGCTGATTGCAAGAATTGCATTGTCACGGGCACCGACGAGCTCAAAGTTCGATGCCCGCTAAGCAAAGGAGCTGCGATATGGTTCGATTATTGTCAGTTGAAGTACTCGAACGCCCAATTCTTTGGGAGGATTGATAATAGGAACAAGTTCTCTTTGGTGAATGTTCAAAGTGTGGAGAGTAATGTGACGGTGTTTAATGAAGAAGTTATGGGTTTGCTGTCGGATTTGGTTCAGAAAGTTGGAGGAACTCCTAAGCTTTATGTGGTTGGAGACAGGGAAATTGAGGCGTTTAAGAAAAGGTTGTATGGTTTGGTTCAATGTTCGAGGGATTTGTCTGTTGCTGCTTGTAAGAAGTGTCTTAGTGATGCTGTTGGGGAGCTTTCGAGGTGTTGTGATGGTAGAATTGGTGGAAGAGTTGTTGGAGGGAGCTGTAATTTTAGATATGAACTTTATCCTATTGTTGATGAGCAGAAATAAATGGTGTATTTTGAAAGAATTAAAGTTACTATATAGTTTGTAACGTTGTATTGAAATGACGACGAGAGTTATTAGTTCGAAAGTCGTTTGGTTTAAGCTATATTTTATGTACTCGGCATGACTGTTTCTCTTATATGTCTAACACAGGTGTAGAAAAGGAAGTTGAATTGATGAACAAGTGAATCGAGGTTAACGCTTGCAATAAGTAATGTCATTTTTGTACAAAATCAAACATTTGTGAGAATCTAATGCCGTGAAAACTTGAGGGTGAGTCAGGGCCTAAGATCAGGTCGAAAGGCATAGTCGATGGACAACAAGTGAATATTCATGTACTATCCTTTGTTGGTCCTGAGGGACGGAGGATGCCGAGATTCCTCAAAGAATCCAATTGTAGAACCCTTGCGTATGGCAATGTGTGGTCATGCCACCGCCTCCAAGTCAGGTCAAATTCGAGAAGGCCATGGAGGACGATTCATCACAAAGACCGGTGTTTTATCGTTGGATATAGATAAAAAAATATATATTTGTTACCTAAATATTGTATACATAAACAAAATACTCTTACCATTTTCTCTCTTGTACATCCAACCATGTGGTAGTTTTATCGAATAATTTTTTTAAACAAGTGGGATGTTAGTAATGGAAGCAGGTGGAGACAATTAATTAAAACGAGACCTTTACGTCACCCAATTGCCTTAACCTCGATATGCTTCTGGCTTGGGATCAGACACGTATCGGTTGGCTATTGGGCTATATTGGAAAGTCGTATGATTCGACTCATAACTTTAGTTTTTGAATGATATCTATATACTGTGGTGATTACATTCAACCATTTTTTTTTATTAATACAAAAATTAAGAATACTGATATTTTTTAATTTTCTTCTAGAAGGTTGACTCATCTCGATTTGAACTTGATTGGCATCAACACTAACACAACTAAAAAAATTATAGAGGTCTTATTAATTCATGAAAATGATACCTATTCGACATTACCAGGGACATCAATTATTAAAGGCAACAATTTCAACTCCATTATTTGACTATACACACTCGTTGACCTTAATCAAGTCAACAGTGGTGACAGTTCACCTACCCATTACGAGAACTGCATCACCACAACTAGATAAGTGATCCAACAATGACGTACTCGTAAAAAAGGAGATATGATTTTTGTCACTTGAAATATTCCAATACCAAACAAATAATCCTAAGTGGTTTAATGGGCTAAGTCAATAATCAACATGAATAACATCTACACTTCCAACTTATAACTACTTGACCAATAGTGTCCCATCCTCTAGCTTCGACCTTAGCTCGACAAGGGCGAAGGTTGACAAAACCAAGTTAATGGCCTAGTTCTATGTCGCACGGACATCTCACCACTGGACAAGAGATCCAACATCGGTTTGGTTACAAGAAAGACTCCAACATATGGTACGATTTGGGCCTCTTGAAATAGTTCCATGCCAAATTATGTGGGAAGAACCAAAATGGAGGGTTTAGATTCTACTTGAGGACGTCCAAGAGGTGGATGATCCAACGTCGTTTATAAACCAAGTAAAGAACTTACTTAATGATGCCATTGTTGAGCTTCCATATTGGTGTGCAAATGGAGCTGAAGTTGGAGGAAGAGTGGTCGGTGGGAGTTGTAACTTTTTTGTCGAAGTTTGATCAACTTTGATCCCACACACCACGATTCCCACGTGATTGTCTTCTATCATTCTAACGGTTGAACTAATAAAGAAATTTACTGCTCTCTATTGCAAAAGCCCGTAGGAATTTGGTCACTAGTCTCTTGTCACTGATTGTAATAGTCAAAACCTCCTGCTAATCGATATTGTCTTTTTTGGACTTTTCTTTCCAGACTTTTCCTCAAAGTTTTAAAACACGTCCGTTAAGGGAGGGTTATGCACCCTTTTAAGGAATGCTTCATTTTCCTCACCAACCGACGTGACATCTAACAATCCACCCCCTTGGAGCCCAGCATCCTTGCTGTCATACCGACCAATATTTACCTCTCATACTATTTGTAAAAACCTAAACCCATCGCTAGCAGACATGTTTTAACACCTTGAGAGAAAACTCGAAAGGGAAAGCCCAAATATAACAATATCTTACCCTCCCATATGAAATCTAACACTAGTTTAGAAATTTCAAACCTTATTATTGTGCACAGTTGGCAGAGTACCTCCCCCACACATGTACCCTCCAAATTTAGCCTCTGTCATTTAGCTGGTAGGGCATATACCTTATAAGCTTTGGTCAATGACTATCAAAACGTCTTTGTGGCCACCTATTGCACAGGGTTAGACAAACATTTTCGGTTTGTATTCAACTTTAAGACCACAGAAATTGATTAAAAAGGCGTCAACAAAGTCAAATATAATTTAACCAATTAAAATATACACTGTCAATCAAGATAATTGAAACTACATTAAATTTACCAGATAAAATATATAGTTTCCATCTGTAATTCGTCTACCCGTATGATCTAAAAAGAAAGTTTTGTTGTACCAAAGACATCAAATTTGTCTGAAAATCATTCAGACATTGCAGAGAGAGAGAACCCATTAAGCTTTTCAGTTGGACCATTGAAACTCATCAACTAAACATCTCAACTCAATTTCTTAGAACTGGTTATAGGTTCGAATCTCACCTTTTTTGTTTTATGGCTGAAGAGAAATTTGGCCAAACAAATAACAGCGATGATATCATTGGGAGTAGTGTAAACACTGTAGACGACAATGATCAATGATGAGCTGTGAAACTGATGCACTAAAAAAGGGAACGGAAAAGAGAACAAAATATCACCGCTGATTCCTCTGCTTTTCTGAGAAAATTCAGTAAAATGGAACTGAAAGTCCGTCGAAACTTGGACTCGAAATCTATAACGATTTACATATCACTCCCATTCTCTACAAACCCATCTAAGAATTCAGGGGAAAAAAAATCAGGAAAGCTATAAATGAGCTAAATCAATTAATAAATCTATCTCAGAACTTCTTAGTGGTCTTAGGAATCGAGGATCGCAGCTGAGCTTCCATTGGATCCGGACTCACCGATGTTGTACTGGGCGGAGTTAACGGCGCCGCCGCTGCGGTTTCTGGAGGAGGCGGAGATTGGGATTGCGGGGGCGGTGGTGGTAAGGGAGTTGGGATGGTAGCAGGCGGAGGTGGAGAAGCAACGTCAGGCGGAGGCGGAGAAGCCGGAAATGGATTTTGGGGTGGTGGGTTAGGATTGGAATCCGGTGGTTTTGGTGGGTTCTGCGGCTGATTGGAGGCGGCGCTGCCGGAAGGGACGGAATTGGGGTTGGGGAAGGCGGTTGGAGGAGAAAAACAGGAATCTCTGAGGCACTTGTGGGGTTTTTGGAGGCTGTGGCGGAAGACTCCAAAGGCTAGAACAAGGCCAAGAACCACCAAAATGGTGACAATGAAGATGAAGATCTTTGTAGCTTTACCCACATAACACATTTTTTATTTCCAGACTTCAAAAGCTCAGATTTCAAAAAAAACACAGAGATCGTTGCTTCAGTAGAAAAAGATTTGAGATTTGGCTCCTTTTCGTCTTTTTCTCATGGCGGTTGAAGAAGATGAGCAAGATGAAGAGAGAGAGAGAGAGAGAGAGAGAGAGGAACTGGACTGGGCTTTTTACTGAGTTGTAACTTGGAATGGGATCGGATCCACATGAAGACCATACCCATAAGGTGAAGTGGGACACCAATGATGTAAGGTAAAATCCTGTGGAATTGGACTTCGAGAAAGCTCCATTTAGACTTTATAGGTAAAAAATGAAAAGGGATTTTGTTTGTTATTGCACCACCGCCCACCATGGAGTCATTTGTACGCTCGAGCCCACCATGTACAAATATTGTTTAGATATTGTTCTTTTCGGCCCGTGAGAGATTTTCATAACCCTTAAAAAAAAAAAATGTTTCTTTTGCACCCCTTTTTAGGCTCAGTGTCCTTGCTGGCACACACCTCATTCAGGGGCTCAGAGTCCTTGTTAGCACACCGCTCGTTGTCCACCCCCTTCAGGAGCTCAATGTCTTTGTTGGCAAACCACCCAGTGTCCACCCCTTTGAGGGGCTCATCGTCCTCCCTGGTACACCGCCCCGTGTTTGACTTTGATACCATATGTAACGGTCCAAGCCCACTGCTAGCGCAGATATTGTCCTTCTTGGGCTTTCCCTTTCAAGAGAGGCTTCCATACCCTTATTAATAATGTTTCATTCTCCTCTCTAACGATGTGGGATCTCACAATCCACTCTCAAACAGATACTCGTTCTTCTCTTTAATTGATGTAGGATCTCACATCATTCCAAGTGGTAACTATCAAAGCATCAAAATCTGAGCCTGACTTGCCTGGCTTGTGCTAGTCTCAACAAGACGACAACCAATAAAGCATCAAAGCGCTCCCACATCTTCCTCATCTTTTAACAATCATGGACTTGGACATGAACAAACTACAAGACATTTTCATTTCTGTAATGGAGAAGAACGTGTATGGATTGTGTTTCACTAGTTCAATCGTTATCCTAACCTGCTTTTATGTGTGCATTCATGTTCTCTCACTTCCTATCTGTTATAATAGTAGTAGTAAGCAATAGAAGGAAATGGCTTCAGAAACAATCATGATAAGTGTTGTGTGCCAAATGCATAGTGGAATCATAGAGAGAATAGTACCATGCAGTGGATATGTTCAAGGTAGATATAAATGTAAAGCGCAAGGCAAGAAGCTAGAACTCAACTGGTCTCTCCCATGTTGGTCTATTGCATCAAGGATCAATCATCGGATTTCGGCGTTCAAGGCGACTACAATAGAACCCGAGGTAACTACGTTCCAGCCTGTAAATCTTTCATGTATCAGGTACCTGAATTTGTGACATAGAAGGCCGTAACAAAAGCTTCAAAACAACACATTGAGAGTCACAAAATACCTTGGCAGTTTTCCATGGAACTTTTCTTTTGTGCAGGCATCGAGAAGCAGTCCTGACAACGATGAAAGGCTGATAAAGAACTATGTGCCAGTTTATGTGATGCTTCCAGTAAGTTGCATACAGAATCCAGTATACTCGGCATTCATCAGAGTCAAACAAGTTTAGTTTATCATTCTTCTTATTTTCATAACACCAGTTGGGAGTTATTACAACTGATAATGAACTGGAAGACAGAGATGGGATAACGAAACAACTCGAACAACTACAAGAAGCAGGCGTGGATGGCGTAATGATTGATGTTTGGTGGGGGATTGTAGAATCCAAAGGGCCAAATCAGTATGATTGGACTGCATATAGAAGCTTGTTTAAGATAATTCAAGGATGTGGTCTGAAACTTCAGACTATAATGTCTTTCCACCAATGTGGAGGGAATGTGGGAGATTCTGTCAATATTCCACTTCCCAGCTGGATTCTCAAAGTTGGAGATTCAAATCCTCACATCTTTTACACAAACCGCTCGGGAACCAGGAACCAGGAGTACCTCACTCTCGGAGTCGATAACCAGCCTCTCTTTCATGGGCGAACTGCTGTGGAGGTCAGTTCCTTGCAACTGCCTGACAGAAAAACAAATTCATTAACACAAAAAGAAACTCAAAATTGTCACGGTAATCAGATCAATTAGTACTGACACATATTTTACTTCGTTCTTTATATAATTTCACATGATGGATCTCCACAGATATACAGGGATTACATGAAGAGCTTTAGAGAAAACATGTTGGATTATTTAGAAGATGGTCTTATAGTAGACATTGAAGTGGGGCTTGGCCCCGCAGGGGAGTTGAGGTATCCTTCATATGTAGAAAATCAGGGATGGGTATTTCCTGGTATTGGAGAATTCCAGGTAAGACTAGATATGGAGCATTTTTTTCAAGGAGACTTCCCTGTGTTTTGGTTTCAACTATTTTTCTTTTATAGTGCTATGACAAATATCTCAAAATGGAATTCAAAGAGGCTGCAGCAACTGCAGGACACCCTGAATGGGAACTTCCAGATAATGCAGGAACTTACAATGACATCCCTGAATCTACAGAGTTCTTCAGATCAAATGGCACTTACCAATCTGATAAGGGAAAGTTCTTCTTGACATGGTATTCCAACAAGTTATTGAGCCATGGTGATCAGATACTTGAAGAAGCAAACCGGATTTTCGTTGGTTGTAAAGTTAAATTAGCAGCCAAAGTACGTCTACAAAGCAAATATTTTTCTAGATCTTTGTCATTATAGAAACAAGCACAAGATATTGTCTGTCTTCTCATAAAAACAGGTAGCTGGGATCCACTGGTGGTATCATACAGAAAACCACGCAGCAGAGCTAACATCAGGATATTACAACTTGAAAACTAGAGATGGATATCGACCTATAGCAAGAATGCTATCAAGGCACCATGCAATTTTGAATTTTACATGTCTAGAGATGAGGAATTATGAGCATATATCAAAAGCTAGAAGTGGACCTGAGGAACTAGTTCAGCAGGTAAAGTATAATCAAGTTCATACAAGAAAGATCAAGAAATTGATCCCAAATTATAGGAATGATTCGAGTAAGTTGCTCTTAAAGCAAAGTGACAATTTATTCAAATTTCTCCAACAGGTTCTAAGTGGAGGTTGGAGAGAAGGCATTGTAGTAGCAGGAGAGAATGCACTACCAAGGTATGACCACGCAGCTTACAATCAAATTCTTTTGAATGCTAGACCAAATGGAATCAACAAAGAGGGTCAACCGAAGCATAAGATGTTTGGAGTGACATACCTTCGACTTTGTGACAAACTCCTGCAGAAAAGAAATTTCAATATATTCAAGAGCTTTGTGATGAAAATGCATGCTGATCAGGTAAAGAATTATTCCAGAAAGCTATCAAATTCCTCCTTTCTGCTTTCGCACTCAGCTGGGTTGTCTTTTGTGCTTAGCAGGGTTACTGCCCCAACCCAAAGGACTATAACTGCGCTGTTGTCCCACTAAAACAGTCGAGAGAAAAAATTTCGATGGAAGCACTTTTAGAAGCAAAGGATCCATTGGAGGCATTCCCATGGGATAAGGAAACTGATACTCCAATCGGTGGTCCTTTGGTGGATGTCTTTAATAGAATACTATACATATTTAAGTGAAATAAGAACCAAACAGAAGTGACCGTGGGGATGCACCAAACTTTACTGGAGAGATCATGTATTTGTTCCTCCTGCTATTGTATAAAATATATGAAACCATTTTTAAGTAATAATCACCGGAATCTACATCAACATCCTATTAAATTGAACTAGTATTCTAGGGAAAAAGAATTAAATTATTCTAGATCTAACAACTTCAAGACTTAAAAGAACTTCAAAATAATAAAAGCAACATTAATAATATTATTAAGTCGAAGCTTATAACTTTGAGAATTCATTGCAGACGAACAAATGTTAAAGAAGCTGCTTATTTTCATTGCAGACGAACAAATGTTAAAGAAGCTGCTTACTCCCCAAATAGATCGTCCTACATTTATATATAAATACCGGTTTATCAAGAATATACAAGAGAGACACTTAGAATTCCTGATTCATTACCGGAGATGGCTTAGATCCAATAGTTCATTATCTAATGAATTTTTCCGTTCTAATACTCCATCCAAAAGCAACCCTTCGTCTTATACTAGTTTAGCCTATTTCAAATGAACTATTCGTGTAACAATAAATAACAAATATTTAAACTCATAATTGCAATATAATTAAGAAAAACCTTAAACCTCAACACTAAGTGGGACGGTTATTTATCACACTTACACATGCAGAAACACAAGCTATTTAATCTTTTAAGAGAATGTCATAAATTCCTTAGAACGAGAAAGAACGAGCTTGATTTCACATTCGTATAAATAAAGTTTTTGACTTTGACTTTGAATCAATAAAATAAATAAACAATGGTTTGAAGTCCTTTATACTAAAAGTCAAGAAGTTAGTTTATATTTTATGATCATATTTAGGTTTCTTAGGAGGATTTCTAATCACATATAATTTATTATTGTAAGAGTGGCAACAGAACATATAATTTAGTATTACATTTAATTTGTTAATTTCTAGAAGGCACGGATAATAAGAACAATTGAATAATCTTTTAAGAAAAGAAAATAAAATAACAATTCATAGACTTTTAACTATTTATATATTTTCTTTTATTTTTCAATTTATTTTCGAGAATTTTATAAATGTTTTAACTAATAACAAGAGAGTTCTTTTTTCTCCAGTTTCTCTCTCCTTTTAATTACTTATTTTTAAAGAATTTTAGTTATTTAGTTTACTTATTTATTTTAAAATGTTAATCAGCTAATTCAGCTTATCTTTTTAGCAACAATAAAGTTCCATTTATAATATAATATAATATGAAATATTTTTATTATTCACGTGCGTAAATAAATGCGAAATTTTTGTCCTATTCTTGCCTGTCACGTAACCTTGTCTCTTTAGGAATAAAAGGGTCCCACCAATAACTGTCTGCCACGTCATGATACTCCAACAGATCAAAAACCCTATTCCAACCCTATAAATTAAATTTCTAACGCCCGCTCTTCCCAAAACCAGACCTCTTACTATTCCTTTTTTTCCAAATCGATTCCAATGGCACCAAAGCGGCTCATCGATGATCTACCATCGGCTCATGCCGTCTCTGATGCAGAAGAAGAATCCGGTTTCGAAACTCTTGGAGAAGATCCAGAAATCAATAATCTAATGCAGAACTCTGAGGATGAAAACGAAGAACAAACCTATGAAGATGAAGAAGACGAAGAAGATGAAGAAGAAGAGGAAGACGAAGAACATGCAATCCCTTCTCCTATCGTATCAAAACGTGAAAAATCTCCTGAAAAAGATTTTGGGTTCGTCTCAGATTCCGATTCTGAGAAAACCCAATCCTCCCCGAGTGCTTCTGCTTTCACCATCAAATCGATTCTTAGAAAATCGGCTTTTGGGTCTTCTAAACCTAAGAAGGGTTCTCACAAATCGAGTATTGATTGTGCTATTGTCAAGCCTGTTGGTTCTGGGTCGAAGCGGCAGATTGAGAATAACTTTCATGGGAATGAGTTGAACAAGAAGAAGATCAAGAGGGTAATCAATGGCGAAGATATTGAAGAAGGAAAGAAAGTTTCTGGGTCTGGGATTAACAGGCTTTGGAGTGAGGATGATGAGATTTCTATATTACAGGGCATGATTGATTTTCAATTGGAAAAGGGGTCTGATCCTTATGCTGATATGAGCCAATTTCTTGAGTTCATAAAGAAGAATCTAAGCGTTGATGTGTCTAAGAATCAATTGATTGATAAAGTCAGGAGGTTGAAGAAGAAGTACAGAAACAACTCGGAGAAGGGAAGGAATGGGGACGACCCTGTATTTTTGAAGCAACATGAACATAAATCCTTTGTGCTGTCAAAGAAAATCTGGGGCAATGAAGCGAAAAAGAAACCAAGGAAACAAAGTGTGAAAGCTAGCAATTCAGTGTCTATAAGCTCGCCGAGAGTAGATATGGAAGCAGCAAAGAAAGAGGCTTTGCATGTTGAGAGTAAGATTTTGCCAGAGGAGTTTCTATCTGAATTTCCATGGCTGAAAGCTTCGATCATGGTGGAGAATGATAAGTTCTGTTCAGAAGGGTTAATGCGGCTTCTAAGAGAAAGAATGCCATCAATTGGCAGTGAAAAGGCAAAGGAATTGGATGAAAAATGGAGGAAATTGGGAGAGAGTGAAGTGGAATTGTATCTGAAGAAGGTTGAATTAGTTAGGGAACAATGTAAACTAATATTGGATTCAATGGGGAAGGCAAGGAGAGCAGCTAGCTAAAGCTAATCAAGGTAGTAACAAATACTTTCTTGAGTAAATTTTTTTCTGCTCTGAAATTCATTTAACCATGAGCATTTTGGAGTATACCTGTCTACAATGACTAGGAACAGTTGCTACTATATTTTTCTGAGATTTAATATTTAATAGAAGATATTCCTTTTCGGGTGTTTTTACATACATCTCTTTATTTCCTCAGCTTGTCTGGTTCATTCTGATTCCTAGTTTTTGGCTTACTGACAGCAATGGAATGGAAAAGTAGCCTCCATTCTTTGATGACCACAAGGAGAATATTCATAGTATTTGAGATATGTTTTTCAAATGCCTAGAATTTCATTATTTAATATTTGATCACTGCATAATGAGATTACTTCTGTATATTCTATTCTCTCCTTCTTCAATATCACGAAGCTTTTAGTTTTTGTTAGGAATCAAAACCCGCTATTACATTGCTTTTAGTTTCCCCAAAAAGTCTCATACCAATGGAGATGTATTTCTTACTCATAAATTCATAAGCATTCCCTTAATTAGCAAAGGTGGAACTCTCGTACACCATAGAGTCTCTTCTAAGGTCTATAGAGCCCTTGAACAGCCTCAAACAAAGTACACCAGTCGAGTCACTTTTGACTACGTCTTTAAGGATTACAACTTCTTTATTCGACACTTGAGGGTTCAATTAGTATGGTTAAATTAAGGGCACGACTCTGATGCTATGTTAGGAGTCACGGACCTCCACAGTGGTATGATATTGTCCATTTTGAGTATAAGCTCTCATGACTTTGCTTTTGGTTTCCCCAAAACACCTCGTACCCATGAAAATGTATTCCTTATAAATCCATGATCATTCCCATGGTTAACCAACATGGGACTTCCTGCCAACAATCCTCAACAATTTTTATCTCACAAACGTAGAGTTTTTGTTGATGCATTACAACTTATCAGATGCAATCAAGATTTGTGTATGATAGGTAATTGCTTTTTGCCTTCTCTAATCTTCCTTTGGATCTATATACTTTTTAGATCAACCATTAGCATAGTCCTCACTTGATCTCCAATTCCATAGAAAAGTGTTATAGATTACTTGTGTACCATTGTCACCACAAGGCTTTTACCAAGCCCCTCTTCTCCACATATAATCCTACATTATTGCTGTGAGAAGTCCTAGCTTGTGGGTTTGGATCTTCTTTAATGAAAACTTTGGTACATACATTGCCTTCTAAGTCGTGGGATTCTCAAAAGATCAGAATTGCTCATCGTTCATTATAAACTGAATTGTCCCCAATCATGATCAAATCACTCTGTAATAAAGCTTCATCATGATCAAAACTAGATGTCCAAATGGTTATTGGGATTCCCCATTTATGATGATACTCCACATTATTAGCGAACCCAGAGTCCCAATGTTTGTCTCTACATAATCTAACACAATTTTTGTAGGGATTGCACTCAGATTATTGTTTTCCAATGAAGTTCACAGTTCTGCAGTTTCAACAGTTCTTAAACATAGCCAAGCATTGAAATCAAGCAAACCAAGGATTTAAGCAAGTTCCTATAGACCAGTGCAAAATGATCTACCTATCTTCATAATGATTGGCAAAATTATATAAAGAAAAACAATGGATCATGCTTTGTAATGACCCAAAATGGAAACACGTAAAGAGAAATAAAATTGTAGTACCCGACGCGCCGCCTTGCTGAATAACCCAACGGCGGAAATTGATCGGAAACCTAGGGCTTGTGTCGGAACGTTGAGATCTGCTGCAGAAGAACTCTTTTCTCTGCGATCTTCTGGATAAGCCCCAACTGTTCTGCCGAGAAAACGCAACAACTCTGCGAACAAAGCATCGTCTGAACGACCGGCGAGTTAACCAAAACTTGCAATAATTGGTTTCTGCTCAGCCTCTCCAATCCACCAAACACGCCGCTTATGTGATGATTCGAATTAGTAGAAATGGCCGACTCGCAAGGCATGGATTGAAGAGCAAGGAGTTGCGCCTGAAGGAACTTGACGTACTTAAACGCTTCTTCAAGCATTGTAGAGATATCCATCTTCTTGTCCCACGGCAGTAGCTTCTGCAAGCAACGCGTCTTGTCGCTCAATTTCTGCCGACGCTGTCGAGTTAATGCGCTGCGAGGAATTTGAACAGTAGGAGACACAGCAGCGGAGCTACTTACCTCACACTCTCGCATCATCGGCTCCACCATCTGCAACGGATTCCACACAGAATCGACTCGAGCACGCTTGTTAAACGACGACGAACATTGCCCCAAAGAACGCAGGTCCGGCAAGTGAGGAAACGACGTCGAAGCATGAAAAACAAACGCCGTTTGTTCATACACATTCGTCGGCTCGGATGATTCAATACTTTCAGCAACGAAGTTAGAGCTCGGCTGAGGGTACAACGACGTTGAAGCATCGGGGAAAGTAAGAGCATCGGAAATGTAGCCTCCTCCGAACAGAGACGGCAACAACAAGGACAATGGTTCTGATTACTACCGGCGAGAAACGACTGAAGACTTACGCCGGAAAACATGGCGTTGAAGCAAGCATCATCCCAGACATTGGTGGAACCATCGTCTCCAGCAGAACTTTCCATCATCATGAGACCTAAAAAACCAGAGAATAAGGAATTGTGTATACAGATAAACATATATATGATTTTGTAATGGTGAAGAAGAAGAAGACAAAAGGAAACAGAGGGAATGATGACGGTGATTGGGGCCGTACAAGGAGGAATGTAACCGACAGGTGCAGGTGGCGGGGGGAGGGACTGTACAGCTTCTTCCGGTACGCTTTTTTGTCGTTTTCTTCCCGCCTTTTCATATAATCGGACTGGGAAACTAACTAACTTCTCTCTGAATATTATTAAGTTTACTTTAATTCAATTTTTGGCCTTGTTAATTTTTCCTTATTAGATGTGAAAATTTAAATATTAATTTGTAAATTTCATTTAATAAATCGTCCATGAAAATATTTTTATTTATATCTATTTTCTTTTAATATAAAAGGAGGTTTGGTATAAAATAAAATAAAAACACATATCCATATTTATTTTAAAAGCAACACTAATTTCTGAGAAATTATAGAAATTATAAAACCTAATTGAACACTATTCAATCGAAGATTACATAAATGAATAACATGTGTGAGGGTAAAGAGATTTAAACTTCTAACCCTTTTGTTTTGATTTTATAACTCAAGCCCATTACTAGTAGCTATTTTCCGCTGATTCGTTACTCACGATTTTAAAACGTGTCCGCTAAGGAGAAGTTTTCACATCCTTATAAAAAATGATTAGTTCATTTCTCCAACTAATGTGGAATTTCTATCGTTTCCACACCCTTCTCACAATTCTTAACAAAATAAGCTAAACTACGTTCATACCGACAAAAACTCCACCTACTACAAGTCATGTCATTGCTTTAAAAGACGATGAAAACTTGAACAATTCATCATCCACACGTTCGAATACGAGAGAAGAGAACTTGCTAAGCCTTTAAACTATTTCTTCTACTTTCATTTCTTCAATTAGAGGGAATAATAATGATTTACTAACCAAATATGAATTACAAAATAACAAAAGGAAGAGGAAATGAAGAAGAAAAGAAGAAGAAACTGTACAGAAGAATGGGAAGGAAGCTAAGCTAGTAATGATGCTCTGGAATGATAGCCAATCCCCCCCCAACTATTCAGGGCAGCGGTGAACACTATAAATTGAGAAATCATTCCAAAACAATTTACACAGGATTGGGTAATGATCCTACCTCTACTCCTACAAAAGTTTTTTCTTACCGATCCCACATGGCCTGAAATATGGGAGTTCTGTGCTTTAGCCAATGTACCAAATCCCTCTCTAGGGGCGAGTTGTTCAACACCGCGTCCAGCATTGGGCTGCCGATCACCTTCGGGGAGTTCTTGAACGACCATATCCGATCCTTTGGCCATGGTCTCTGCGGCTGCTTCTCCTGGAGGAACCAGAACCAATATAATATCGGAATCGTTAGCAAAAATCGGGCATTGAAACCAGTCTAGAAAAGGTAAGACAGATATAGACTCACCATCCTTGACAGCATAAATTTAACAGTCTTTGGGCCATATACACGCTGCCGTGAAGGCTTCTGAATTCTGGCATAGAAGGAGGCTATCTCTGGCAAAGACAAGCACCCCCTGCTGGCCTCAGCCAGGCTACGATCTGGATCGATGTTTTGCTGGTTGTGCCAAAAAATTAGCTGCCCTAAACAATAATTCTGACTATACGTCTTGCGATACTCTTGAAAACCCGTCCCTAATTTATCCAAATACTTGGGACCCAAGTCAAGTGAACTAATGTAAACTGGTGGGGAAGTTACAGCTTCGTATTCCTGCAAGTAAAAGCAAACATCGCCTCAATATTGTACTCGAATGAAGGCAGTTAATAGTGAAAGCTGCGAAATTGTATACGTTCGTACCTGTATTCTAAAAAAATTCTTAGTAAAAGCATAAATATGAATCAAATCTGCAGCAGCATCGTTACGGGATTTGTATGTACAAGGAACATTACGAACTTCATCTCTCAACCTGCAAAGAAGAAATGGAATGAATTCAAATAAACGTCCATTTTTATTGTTGTTTAAAGCATGGGCGGGCATATAAAGCTACTCACCACAATAGAGATTGTTGAAGCTCGTTTTGAATGTCATCATTGTCTAGTGGATCGTGGGCATGAATCTTGGATTTGAGATCAGTTATTAAATCTTCTTCAACATGTGGAGCCATGCTCTGAAGCAGCTCCTCAACTAGCGATCCCTCTCCTTTCCATAGATAATATACAGCTTCTTCAGGACTAAGCCTCTTTAATGGAGGTGGAGCATTCTTTGGGTCGCCAAAAATGCATCTCATCACATATCTCACCTTCGGACAGAATTTAAAATGGTACATAAGTGAAATCAAACATGCAAACAATGCTCCTGACGAACAAGAAGAAGATGTGAAACAGAAAATAACTCCACTGCTAGCAGATATTGTCCGCTTTGGCCCATTATGTATTGCAGTCAATCTCACAGTTTTAAAACGCGTTTGCTAGGGAGAGGTTTCCACACTCTTATAAGGAATGTTTTGTTCCCTTCTCCAACTGATGTGAGATCTCACAATCCATCCCACTTGGGGACCCAGTGTCTTTGCTGGCACATCGCCTAGTGTCTGGCTCTGATACTATTTGTAAATGCTTTGTAATTCTGCATTTGTAACAACATGTATGTGGGCTTGGACGGTTACAAATGGTATCAGAGCCAGACATCGAGCAGTGTGGGTGAATTGTGAGATCCCACATTGGTTGGAGAGGAGAACGAAACATTCCTTATAAGAGAGTGGAAACCTCTCCCTAACCGACGCGTTTTAAAAAACTTGAGGCTAACGATGAAACGTAACAAGCCAAAGCACACAATATCTATTATCGGTGGGCTTGGGCTATTACAAACAATCTATCCTTATTCAACCGAGTAACATAAGATGTTGAAAGGAAAAAAAGATATTCACCTTGTCGAGAGTAACAGCCAAATTTTGTAGCCTTTGGTTGTAAACACCCTCAGCCTGTCAAGGGCATACAAGAAATTAATGTATAAAAATAATTTCAGTGATATACTTAACTATTTTTTTTATAAAACAAAACAAAACTGATACGTTTCAACAAAAAGCATATGGATGTAAAATCCATATTACCTGAACTTCAGCGTCACTCTTCTCAACATCAAGACAGATATCTGAAAAGTATTTCCTTTTCTCCTCCAAATTATGTGTCAGAATCTCCTCAGGAAGCTTTGTTCTTTCAAAATTAATGAACCTCACCTGGAACCAGAATCCAAGGGTTGAGAAAATATGAATATCATATACACATATGTGCCATAAGCAGCACCATGGCTCCCAGGAAAGGCCCTTACCACACGAGCTGCATAAGCCACCAACCAATCAGGTAAACCCCCAAGTAAACAACTGCCCAATCCTGCCCTACCCAAGTCAAGATAATCCTCTTCTGATACTGAATTTAATTCACAGGCTTCCAGCATCAGTTGATGACAATCCAGAAGGCCATGCCATTCCTCCAATACCTGGTGGAAAAACAACTTTGTCCTGATTAACTACTAGGGCCACAAGGAGATCAATGCAGGGAAATAGACTAAACAACCAAACTAACCGATACATTCGTAAATTGTGGGAACATGAAAACAAAAGATCTCTAAGCACGTGAAAATAAACATAAGCTCAATCCAAAGAGGTGCACGTCTTTTTTATAAAAAAAATCGTCCAACTATTACCTTCAGAAAGGCTCCATCACCAGTCAAATTCAAGTAGCTACCTCGGCAAACATGACTTCCACATAAACAGACTGATGCTTCATATTCTTCCTTACTCTGGTGGAGTGAAAGGTAATATTAGAGGAGAATAGAACCCCAGAGATCTCTATAAGAAACGCATTGCAAAAGGACATACCTCTGTTACGGAGTTATAATCGAATGTGATCTCCTCACCATACTGTATTTTGCGTAAGGTATAAATTCCAATCTGGTAATGACCATCTACGGCGGTAACTCTGCGTTTTAAAGCAATATGTTATATTATCTATGATTTGTAGAGAAGCAACATTACACAGTAAGTCAGGAAGCAAGTGCAGATGATATGGGGCAAGGTTCAACAAACTTATCAATCAGAAAAATTTAAGTTCAATCAAAGCAATAATCGTCCTTCTAGGACACTTTCCAGAGAATTCTGGAAGAAAGATTAGTGCTAAGAATAGTCTTCTAAACCATGAACTGCTAAGAAGAGGGAAAAAAATCTAGGCTTTTAAAAGAACTTACTTTGCTTCACAATTAGGTCGGCAAGAATGGCAAATGCGGCTTGCATAGTTTGCTTTGTGCATGGCATCAACTACCACCAAATCATAACCGTCCCCGTCACCCTGCCAGAGAGAGGAGATTAAATACTCAACAAGGTATGTAGAATAAAGCATTAGAAACTATATATACGCTGAAACATGCATATAAAATATAAATACAGCTGAGTTAAGTGAGCACCTTCGGTCTTTCTAAGTAGATATTATAAAATTCGGGAGCTGGGTCCTTGTCATTTTCCTGTAACGACCTAATTCCATCCTGCTTCTCGTACCATTTCCAAACAGGATAAACCTAAATAAAAGAGAGATGATAAACATGTAAGTACTGGCACATATAAGTGAGTTTCATTCCAAAAAACCAAGAACACAAAATTGAGAAAACTATCCACAAAAGCAGAAAATGAGATGGGTTAAAAAATGAACATATTAAGGACACATGATTAATATCTGGCAATACAAAACCTCTACTCTTTAAGACTATCCTAAACACTAAAAATTTCCAACAAGATTTCAGTGGATATACGAAAGCAATATGAATTTTGCAACCATATCAATTTACATTAGATTTATTATCATAATGATCTCAATCCATAATCCTAAGGAGAACTGAAGGCATACCTCT